AAAACTTGAAAAATATTTAGTATTTTTTCCGAAAGAAATGGAAATATATTTCTCTAACATGAAATATCATTGAATACTGAATGGATATGTGAGTATGATTCACCATAGAAAAATATCCTAAGCAGAGGAAAGAGAGGTGAAATGTAAATCATGATAGCCTTCTAAATATCTTCCTGTACAGACAGCAATTTTTTTTGAAAAAAATATTTTTTAGTTTACGAATATGATCAATATTTTCTAGATAATTATTCAAAAAATTTTATATCTTGGTTGCTAAAACTAGCACTTTAAATAAGCATGTTAGAAGAATTTACACTGAGGCAAAGATGCCATTTTACTGCTAGGTGCACAGTGGCTTTTTGCTGAACTTTAATAAGCTTGTAAATAAGCCCCTCATGCCAGACGCAGTCGAATGCCTTCGCCACGTCTAGCATGAGTAAGGCCACATATTTCTTGTTGTGCAGTGCACTTCCAATGAACTCATTTAGCTGCACTAGCTGCTTAGTTGTGGACAGGGCTTTCCTAAATCCAATTTTTCTAAGGTGAGGTTGAAATTTGCTTAAGATGATATGCTCTAAAATATTACCCATACTGGGAAGCAGGCTTATGGGCCTGTACCCTTCAGGCTTGATCTGGTTGGTCTTTACCCAGTTTAGGGATAACAATCATCTTAGCATTCTTCCATATCTTGGGAAAGTAATTATTAAAGAGGCAGGCATTTAAAATGCCCTTGTACTTTGTAATGATTTTTAAAGGAAGTCACTTTAGTGCGATGTTATTGATGTTATCAAATCCAGACGCTTTCCTAAGTTTCTTTATAATGCCCAAAATTTCCCGGGCAAAGTAAGCTCGAGATGATTTTGCGCAGGAGGTGAATTAGTCCAATCATTAACATAGGAGCTGACCTCAGCCCAGAATTCTCGATTACGAGGTGTGCTATTTGGGAAGAATTGTTTCTCAAAGTGATCTGCAAGAAAATCTTGTCCTCATTATTAAGAGCAACTCGGTGCTCCACACGAATTGGTTTATTAGTTGTAGGTTTTGTAAGATTTAAGCGAATAAAATCTTTCAGAAATCCTTTTTTATAACAAAGCTGATGTGGACACCACGACTTCCTTCTATGGCCTATTAAATTACACACATTTTTTGCTGCATTACATTTAAATTTATTTCTTCAAATTTCATTACGGATATATTACAATTAAAATTCATTACAATTTGTACATAAAAACAAGCAACTCGACCAATGAACAGGAAGGCAAAAATTTCGTCGCACAAAATTAAAAGGTAGCTTTTTATCCAACTAAGCAAAAAGACACTAAGGTTGGTGCATCAACTGACTTATTCACTATTCTACTAAGAACTTCAAGTGTAAACAAATGTCGTTAGGTCTCGCGCCACTGAAATTTTTAAATTGTTGATAATTCTACAAGTATTGCATGCAAATTAATAAAACACATAAAAACCTTAACCGGAACATCAGAACAACATAATTCAGTCAGTTTTAAAGCAAAAAGTCCACAATTTACAAACATATATATATATATACACTTTTGGTGCGGCAATTACATTACAACAGAATAACATTTTTTGAGAAAATTATAAATATATGAGGTAGTTAATATACAAGAAAATATGATAAGAAAATGTATCACTACTAGAATAGTTTCCTCATTTAATTATTCAAAAAATAAATGGCAACAGAAATATAAAATATCAACAATAATAAATTTAATATTCCTGAGTGTTCAAGACTTAACATGCAACATTGTATAATACATAAACATTAATGGATAAATGTACTGCTAGAACATAGAGAAAACACATACACAGCAATAACATAATTCAACATTTTTACAATATTAATAATGGAAAAACAGTGAAAATCAATAATGTTTGCAATTTCAATGTATATAAGTATACTTTTATGAAAGACCTGAAAGAATTCTGATGAGTGCTTAATTCACAAATATCATCAATAGAAACTTGCACTTCGAAACCTAATTGAAAACAAAGTCTAACCTTAGAAAGATTTCCTAGCTCATTCCATTTACTCAGCTATGCCAATCAATAATCAAGTAATAGTTACATCATTTTAAAGACTAATCTTCCCCTCCCTTAATTAACAGACAAGTAAAAACAAATTCAAAGATAATGATCTAACAGTATTAAGTACTTAATATATATATATTTCAGTCAGGAATGACCATGAAATAAAATATTTAATCTTAAAATGACTATATAACAATTAGAAAATGTCAAATTTTTCATAATTTAAAAAACTTCCAATTAAAAAATATTACACTGGTTGACATTTATACAGATGAAACTTGGCCCCCCCAAATTATTATTTCTGATTATTTTTTCCTCTCTCCCTTTTTGGTTTGCAATTTTTTTACATTATCACATTGCTAGAAATCCAATCAATTAACTGGCCCACCAGCGGCCATGGGGTAAAAACGCTGAACACTGGTAGTTCGGTCCGAGGTTCGAATCCCGCGAACGGGCTGGCTGCATGGGCATTTTCATGGTTTTCCCCATGTGTTACATGTATACGAGCCAGTTTCCCTTAGAAAGTCCTCTACGAAGGCATCCCTCCCTTTAGGCAAATAGCCCTCGTGTGCTTTGCCATAATTAAATAATCCAATCCAATCCAATCAATTAACTGACTACTGGCATCTTTAAAAATATATACACAAGCAAAATTACATTTGGAAGGAGAAATCATTAGGCATATGAGTGTTATAAAATAACAGAAACAAATGAAACCTGGACGTGATGGATGGATGGTGAGATTCATGGCTAATAGCCTGGATAGACCATAATATATCAAATGCTTGTTTAACTTATTCCACCTTATTTAAAAACACAAAAGTGCAGACTGATGAATGTAATGAAGTGTAGGAACAAGAAATGTAATCCTTAAGAGACAACATGATATAAATAAAACCATTTTCAGGACAACAAATGCAGCATATATAGAATTCTCCATGCAATGGAGTATAGGAATAAATGCAATCCTTAAGAGACAACATGTTACAAACAAATATCATTTTCAGAATAACAAATGCAACATATATAAAGTTCAAAGACATATAAGCAAAGGCAATAATGGAAAAATAATTAACTTTTTCAGGGACACTGACACATATGCATATGTTTAATTTTATTTTAATGAAAATTATTCTAAATGACAAAAAGAAATTAGTCGGAAAATTATTCGTTACAGAGTCTCTCAACGATAAAGACAAAAGTTTGTATGGCATCACTGCTGATATTTTATTTTACTAGATAATCACTGCTATGTTTCTGGGGTAACTATCTCGAAAAAAAAAATGGAACTTAAAAGCCCTAAATGATGTCATGACAAAAATTCAGTACGATGAAATCAATGCATTTGCACAAAAATGTATTTAGTTCATTTATTGATATGCCTTAAATGTATGAAATAATTCCATTTATAATTTGTACTAGTTTTCAAAGCATACATAATGAGAACCTTTTTTATTATGATTTTTCAATTTTTCTTGCTCACAGAATTGTTACCAACATAAAACATAAATCATAATCAAGCAAAATATGAAATATATTGGTTCTTTAAAAAATTTACCCTGAAGAGGCTAAAAACTTATTTAAAAAATACATAATAAAAATATATATAAAAAAACAAGACATCCTTAAATATTGGTAATTATAAAATACTAAACATGTAAAACTTTCCCTCTATGTTAAAATAATCTGAAAATTTACATACAAAAACTTCAGTTTTGCATGCAATAATTTTACATATCAGGAAACCCACATTTTTACATACATACAGTAAATGGCCAACGATTTTGGTTTCTGACTAGAAAGAATATTTTAAATATTAGAAAAGTGAAAAACTAAACAAAAAACTATTAAAGCCATCATAAAGCGCATATAAAATTACTACTCGAAACCCCACTTCTAAAATGGGAATACAATTACATGGTTCTCTTTCAGTAGATATTGATTACTGTTGTTACTTCCCCTTTTGTAGCTGTCATATTGTACACAGATTTCATTATGCTTATTATTATTCATGGAGCTGGACATTTCTCATAATAGGAGAAATAGGAATATATGAAAGATTCCAAAGTTCATGACAGGCACTGAGTCTGTCTATTGTGAGAAATATTCTCCCCATCATATTTAATACTGACTATTTTTGACAGATGTTGACTGGTATAGTGGTTAGCATCGCTGACTGTCTTGCTGAAGGGCCTGGGTTTGAATTCCGGAGAAAGCATGAATGTTTGTAAATGGATAGTGTCGGTGTGGCATGGCAGCACTCTAAATATGCGGCGAGCCAAAAGTCCTCTTGTGTGGTTTGGTGGAAGGAGAGGGGAGTGGAAGACCCTCCTAATAAAAATATATATAAAAAAACAAGACATCCTTAAATACTGGTAATTATAAAATACTAAACATGTAAAACTTTCCCTCTATGTTAAAATAATCTGAAAATTTACATACAAAAACTTCAGTTTTGCATGCAATAATTTTACATATCAGGAAACCCACATTTTTACATACATACAGTAAATGGCCAACGATTTTGGTTTCTGACTAGAAAGAATATTTTTAAATATTAGAAAAGTGAAAAACTAAACAAAAAACTATTAAAGCCATCATAAAGCGCATATAAAATTACTACTCGAAACCCCACTTCTAAAATGGGAATACAATTACATGGTTCTCTTTCAGTAGATATTGATTACTGTTGTTACTTCCCCTTTTGTAGCTGTCATATTGTACACAGATTTCATTATGCTTATTATTATTCATGGAGCTGGACATTTCTCATAATAGGAGAAATAGGAATATATGAAAGATTCCAAAGTTCATGACAGGCACTGAGTCTGTCTATTGTGAGAAATATTCTCCCCATCATATTTAATACTGACTATTTTTGACAGATGTTGACTGGTATAGTGGTTAGCATCGCTGACTGTCTTGCTGAAGGTTTGAATTCCGGAGAAAGCATGAATGTTTGTAAATGGATAGTGTCGGTGTGGCATGGCAGCACTCTAAATATGCGGCGAGCCAAAAGTCCTCTTGTGTGGTTTGGTGGAAGGAGAGGGGAGTGGAAGACCCTCGCTCCCCCCCCCCCCCGAGGTGCTCTCCATCAAAATTGGGAGCGGAAGTGAGCTAAATTGCACCGTCACCTGCAAGGTGCTCAAGGCTGGTGCCAACGGCAGGCGTATTCTAGCGCTCATTGTCACTATTTACTTCAAAATGTCTTGCTGATCTACTAAATATTTCAGTTGTTACTTTATACATTTATATTTGTCAAAGGAGATAATATATGAAATAATCTATTAGGAAATAAATTATTATTTTATTACTTGCCAACAACAGATGTAATCTTACGCTCCTTGCCATGAGGAACTTCTTGGGCTCAGGCTGACTACGTCAGACAAGTGAGCGTAAGTAACAACAACAGACAGATTAAAGACTGCTGCTAAATAGTGTCATTTGGCAGTAATAATGGATAAGCATGACATCACATCATAATCATGTAATCTTCACTTTACGTAAATATGATTAATTATTGATAAGCAGTTTATTTTTTTATTAGGAGTGATATATAATTTAAGTGCTATTTATTTGTTTTCAGATTGCATTTTGAAAAAATTATTTAAATTTGAAGCCTGCTTTCAATTAAATAACATGCAATTCAAAAGTAATGGAATTTAAATAAATGGGTTAATAAAATTTTAATTTCATTAATCCATGTAATTAAATTAATGGAATTTTAAAAATTCAAAAGTATTCAAAATTATGGGACCTTAGCATCAAGAAAAGCTTCTGGTATAATGAGCACAATATGCAACTTTATTTGAAAATAGATAAACAGCATTATGGGAAAAAAAAAAAAAAAAAAAAAAAAATGAATGACAAGCTATATAAATTTTCATGTGCTATGTCCAAAATTTGTACATGTTCATTATCTAAAATAAAGACCGATCTGTTTCTTCAAATTTCTGGTGGAATGATTTGCAAAAGTTTGGCAGGATGTTCGCTATTTTTCGACATAGTCGACAAGATTTCATAATCAAATTAAGATGTTTACTTTTGTATGAATATATCGGTTTTTACGTCTGAAATGCATTTTTTTTTAAACTCACATAATTTAAATGGAGGATATAACAAATGAGATAATTGTTTTGATAATATTAGATCAGAAATTTCTTTTTCCATTCATTCGGCTTTTCTACCATGAATTACATTTTTTATATGCTCAACTATCTTTCACATGTCAAAAAGTAGTTATTTCCTGACATTACTGAATAGTCGAGCTTTTACTGTATATATAATTTATAATATATCATTTGAATTCACATTTTTGTAGGTGTCTGATATGATGTCCTATGTAAACTCAATTTTAACACAGATATATTCACATCAACAGAACAATATGTCAGCATAATCACTACACACACACACACAAACAAAAACAAAACCAAAAATACATATTTACACTTATATAACAATTGAGAAAAATCAAATCATCATTACAACATGTGTATCCTAAAACCGAAATTCTTATGAATTTTACTTCAAAAAATTAATTTAAAGTGGCTTCAGAAACTATCACTAACATATAACGAAAACAAATTCCAAACATATTCAACATTTTTTATAATAGTTCTTTCCTGGAATATTTTTAAAAAAATCTCCCCTATTAAAAAAGGCATAACTATAAGTAAATTTTAAAAATGTCCAGGACAAAATACTTCAAATGAGTACAGTTAGAAGAGGCTTCATCATTTCAGCCATATTTTTTTAAGTATAATCTTACTTATTTTTACTGCAATTACATTTTTAACAATAATTAAAAGTCTGAAAAATGAAATTGATCTTTCACCTTCCTAAATTTAGTGCAATGTTCATTAAAAAAATTTAAATATCACATAGTCTAAAAACTCTGAGCACATTACAGTACAAATGTACATATTAGTGTCAAATAACAAAAGCAAACCATTTCCATAAAGAGCATCAAGCTATAATTACACAACTATTTAAGACAACATCTCTGTATCTCGGTCTTCATTATAAAATGCTTGTGAAGCATCAACAAGTACAAGTCCTTCTCCAGTGAACTGCAGAAAATAAAGTATTACATTAGGAAACAATCATTGCAATATTGCTTTCTGGAAATTTCTTTATTTATGTGACATTTAGTTTATTATATATATAATTACTTCAGTTAGATTATGTTTCCTTATTTAAATAATTCATTAGCTTCATTCACACAATCACTGAAAATTTTTTACAGTAAAAGCCCAGCTATCTGGCATTCAACTACCATAAAGATCAAGAAACTGGAATATTTTAGAATTTTAGAAGCTTCTCCCTCCAAAAGTAAGAAAATCAAAAGACTTTGTAAAACACGTATAAGACATTTTTGCAAAAAGTGTGATTTTGCACCAATAACAGAGAAGTGTGACTTCACAACACAATCATAAAATCTTAGCTTTGGTTTGATTAGAGCCTCTATAAGATGAAGTTGGTGCATCTTCCCATTTTTAAGCTAAAAAAAAAGTAATCTTCCTTGCCCGAAGGAAAAGTCATGGAATCAGACATGACATTATGTTATATTTTTACTCGCCACATTACCTAGAAAGTTAATATGAGAGAACTGAACTATTAGATTATGTAAATTTAGAACAAAAGAGGGAGAGATTGGGAAATTTGGGAGAGAGCATGTGATTGGGATGAAGAGTTGCCGGAGGACTTGCAACAAAAGTGGATAACGTGGTGTAATGAAATTGAAAAATTAATAGACATTACTATTCCAAGATATTGTTTTTTGGATTGTGAGAATGAGATCGGAAGTGCATGTGTTTTGCGATGCTTCACCAAGTGCTTACGGAACTGTTGTTTATTTTAGATATTGTGAGAATAATGGGAATTACAGAGCATCTTTTATAATGTCGAAGAGTAGAGTTTCACCGTTACAGAAACTAACGCTGCCACAGTTGGAGCTAATGGCCATGGTAATAAGTACTAGAGTGGGAAATTACCTTAAGAGTGTTTTTAAGGATAAAACTGGAAGAATAGTGTTGTTGGTTGTGGAAATTCAGGAAAGATCGAGTCCAAGTGATTGGTATTATTGTCCATCTGACGATAATCCCGCAGATTTGCTTACTAGAGGAATCTCGGCTGAGAAGTTGGTACTTAATAAAAAATGGTGGTCAGGTCCAATTTGGCTTCGAAAAAGTTTTAACAGTTGACCTAAACAGTGGGTTAGAGGGTTACCAAATGTAGACAGTGCGGAAATACTAAGAGAGCAAAGAAAAAATTCTGTCAAATGTTTTGTAGTTCAGTTGGAATTAGTTGAGCAGATTTGGAACAAATTTTCAGTTTGGAGTAAGTTGTAGAGAGTTGTTGCTTGGTGTTTAAGGTTTATAAGAAATGTGAGGGGGAATAGGATTTTGACTCCTTTCTTAGAAACAAGTGAACTAAAAGAAGTGCATGATATTATAATCAAACTAGTCCAAAGAACTGAGTATAAAAAGGAAATAGCTACTTTAGAGAAAGCGAGAGTGTTAAAGAAAAGTTCTTTAATTTCTCTAAATCCGTTCTTAGACAAAAGTGGCATACTACGTGTAGAAGGACTTTTAAGAAATGCCAGCTTACCAGACTCTGTGAAACATCAAATAATATTGCTTAAGAATCATCCTGTTATAAAAATGTTAGTGACATTTTATCACCTTAATTATATGCACAGAGGAGTAGACTTAGTTAACTCTGCGATGAAACAAAAGTATTGGATTATAGGAGCAAAAAATGCAATATGCAGAGGAATAAGAAAGTGCATTATCTGTGCCAGATTTTGCTCTGAGTTTTCGAAACAAATTATGGCTGATTTACCTTCTGCGAGATTGAATCATGGAAGACCATTTCTTAGATTAGGAACTGACTTTTCGGGATTATTCTTGACGTTTCAACTTGACGTTCTTGATTAGCCCTAGACGTGGTACAGGAGTTAAACCACTGAAAATGTACGTGTGTTTGTTTGTATGCTTTGCAACGAAAGCCGTCCATTTAGAACTTGTTAGTGATCTTAGTGCTCAGGCATGTATTGCAGCTCTGAAACGATTTACAGGACGACGAGGAAAGCCAGCTGAAATATTGTGATTGTGGAACAAACTTTATGGGTGCAAAGAATTACTTAAAAGCGTGTACGATGGAGGCGCTTGGTACTTACTTGACCAACGAAGGCGTTAAATGGACAATGAATGTTCCATCAGCCCCTCATTTTGGAGGCCTATGGGAGGCTGCCGTTAAATCCATGAAGTTTCACATGTGTTATAGGATCGCAGATTCTCTCACAAGAAGAATTTTCAACGTGTCTAGTGCAGATTGAAGCCATACTTAACTCCCGTCCTTTAGTGGCTGCTTCTGAGAACCCAAATGATTTTTCTGTCATTACACCGGGTCACTTTATTATCGGCTCTGAGTTAAAAAGTGTTCCTGAGCCTGATGTAACAAATGAGAAAATTCCCATTCAGAAACGGTGGAAACAGTCAAACAAATTTCCCAATCATTTTGGAAATTGTGGTCAAAAGACTACTTGACTCAGTTGCAAGTGCGCAAGAAGATAAAAACTACCCAGTGCCAATTTATATGTGAATGACTTGGTGCTAATTAAGGATGAGAACTTGCCGCCACTTAAGTGGAAGATGACAAAAGTAATTTGCATTTACAAGGGAACTGACCAAAGAGTAAGGTCAGTCAACTTAAGAACTGTGTCGAGTGAAATGAAAAGACCAATACATAAACTGGTCAGACTTCCTATAAATGGTGTGCTGTGGTGTGGTGTATTTAATTATGGCAAAGCACACGAGGGCTATCTGCCTAAAGGGAGGGATGCCTTTCGTGGAGGACTTTCTAAGGGAAACTGGCTCGTATACACGTTACACATGGGGAAAACCACGAAAACGCCCATGCAGCCAGCCCGTTCGCGGGATTCGAACCTCAGACCGAACTACCAGTGTTCAGCGTCTTTACCGCTCGGCCGCTGGTGGGCTCCTATAAATGACTGATTTATTTATTTATTTCATGTTTTATAATTATATTTACAGTTTGTTTAATTTTTATGTGTTGCATTATATTTCAGTTTATATTTCTAGTTCAGCTGATGACGGTGTCATGGGGGCCCAGTGTGTTACACCATCCATTGCTCGCCAAAAGAGCATGCTCCTGCTATTCGTATAAAGCTAAAAATAATTTATTTCTACTTTTAAATGAATGACGTTTTCTGTGATTGTGTTTCAGAGATGTGGCAACAAGCGATTATTTTTTATTGTAATTGTGTTCTAAAGATTTATAAGTCTGTTGAGTTTCCAGTTTGTATGTTGGAGCAAGAGTAAAATATTTATGATATTTATTGTGTAAAGTTCTGATTTCCTGACCATTCCACAAAGAGGTGAACATAACAATGATAAAGACCTTTTTAGGAATAATTTAAATTTTGTAAAACATAGCTTAACATTGACTAAATTTCATATTTTAAAAATTATTATTAAGCTCTGTAGAGCTGAATTTCTCTGAAAAGTAAATACCTCTAACTGTAGGATAAATAATGAGAATCTCATCTATTATCTAAACTAAAATACAAAATGGTAAAATTCTAAACTTGTCATACACTTTACAAATCTATGTTTAGTATAAGTATTTCAGATAAGCTATATAGTTTCCAGTAGTTAAATAAATTACGAAATAATTAATAAATTACGAATTCCAGTAGTTAAATAAATTAGAAGATTTTGCTTGCAGGTTTCAGGAACTGTATAGCTGTTCTCAAAAATTCATTGCAAATGATGGACATTACTTTACTTTGAAGGAATATAAAACATTCTTCCTCATTTAGGTAATAATCTTTTGTTTATGAATACATTCAACAAACTTTATTTCCATGACTTGCATATCAATAACTTAAATTCTGGAGAATATCTGCAAGTTTCGCAGTGTTATGAACGAAAATAAAAGTAAGTATTTTCAGAAAAAACACACTTAGGAAGTAAAACTATTTTTGCCAATATACACACACTTAAAATAAGTAAGGCAGAAAGCTATTTAAATTGATTAATCAGAATACTTACTCTTTTGTACCTGATGAAAGGAAGATTTACAATCCTAAATAAGCTCCAAAATATTGAAGAGATCCTAGCTCTAAACAAAAAACAATTTATTCATTTAATTTTAAAATACTTATTTGTACAAGTAATAGAAAAAATATATGATAGAAAAAATGTGTAATTATTATACATTATACTTGTATATAGGGTTGATAAGTTAGAAAAAAAAAATAACACTAGAACTGTATAAACAGTAGAAATGGATTATCCCCAGAGTTATTTAATTTGTTTTCCTTGAGTTTATTTATGTTGCATTACCCCTGCATGAATAACTCATCATATTAATTATGAGAGCATAGATTAAGTTAAAATTTAATATTTAGGATTTATGTTTTCTTCATCTATGTAAAATTTTATACATGGTGTCAGTTTTTACTATTTCAAGCAGATTATACATTAAGTTTCAAAATATGCCCTTTTCAATGGCATTATTAGAATGTTGGATCATTCTTTTTTTCTTATTAATTAGCAGATGTAACAGACTCTTTTATATATTATTTATTGGCAATTTAATCCCACATTTGATATTCTTGATAGGAATCTTAGAAATGTTTTTTGAATACAATTTTCTCAAAATGAAAACTATCTGCTCTCAGAAATAAATAACAAAACATTAACAATGAGTTAACATATAAATAATGACATTTAACAATACAGGAGCATTGGGGCGTTTATTTCCTAAATTTTCATTCTGTTGGTAATATGTGCTATCTAATTAATAAATTAAAAGCTTTCTCTTTTGCATATAGTGTCAAAAGTCGTTAATTCGGACACCCATAATCCGGAATGATCTATAATCCGGATCTCAAAGCTACAAACTTTCTGCGCATGCGTCGCGTTGACGCATGCGCATAGGCGTTTATGTGTGCGCGTAAGACCTTTACGGCTGCGAATATGCGTGTGCGCATACGCATAAAACGTTTACGCATGCACGTTTGATGTATAATGGACGGTATAAGCTAAGCTAAAATTATCTAAATCAGTTAATGTTGCAGATTGCATTGTTCCTTAAACTTCGAATTGGATCCGGCTTATTATTTTTTGCAGACTGTTAGAGCAAATTTATAAAAGTAAGCTTGAACTTTCGATTATATCAAATAGAATTTCCGATATATATTTGCTAATATGTAAAGGATCTAAAGCAAAAGTATGTTTCGAAATCCGAAATCTGTTTATCAATTACACGCTGCTCGGCGGGGGGAACGCCGCAGCGCGCAATGAATTGGAAGTTGATCTGTCAGCACTATCCTTATCTTCAGGGCAGATGTTTTTATTTTATTTGGCTTATAATTCCTTACTAAATATATTATTTCATCTCAATGTACTCCGTCTTTGATATGATTTAAGACAAGTTCCTCGTCATTATAATTCACTTCCGATAGTGAAGAAGAGGTTATTGAAAACGAAAAAATTTCGATTGACAAATTAGTCGGTATACTCGACACAGCAGTTATAGGGCTTGAACAGCGGAACTTTGTAACTAAACAAGAAATTATGTATGTTTAATAAAATTAAAGAGAAAGTATTATCACATGAAACGAAGCAACTTAAACAACTTACATTGAAAGAAATGTTTAATAAAGTAAACAAATAAATATTAAGCTTTTCCTTTTTGTAAATTTTGATACCCTTTAGATCATAATTGTTCTTTATTTCATAAATTACGGCTTCATATTTTTAATTTTGTAATTTCTGCATGCCATCTTACCAGATTTAAACTGATGATCTATAATCCGGAAAAATCGATAATCCGGAATTGCCAATGTCCCGACGAGTATATGGAAAATTCTCTTATTATAAATTATATATGTGTATATATATATATTTACAAAACAATTCTTTTGAAAACCAAAATAAACATGCCTAGCATTTTCGCGCATAAAGGTGCAGAAAAAATTATCATTGAAGACATAAAGTAAGAAATTTAGAACTAATATTTCACAAAGACTAATATATAGTACCAAGATATCTTAACAATTATTCTGTGTTAATATTGTCTTTCTTTCTATTTAATGTTAGCCTGTTTCAAGACCAATTTTAAAACACAGACCCAAAATACTATATGCCGTAATGACGAGAATAAGAAGCAATATACATTCAAAAGTCGTTAATCCGGATTTGTCGGGACATCGGCGATTCCGGATTATCGATTTTTCCAGATTATAGATCATCAGTTTAAATCTGGTAAGATGGCATGCAGAAATTACAAAATTAAAAATATGAAACTGTAAGTTATGAAATAAAGAACAATTATGATCTAAAGGGTATCAAAATTTACAAAAAGAAAAAGCTTAATATTTATTTGTTTACTTTATTAAACATTTCTTTCAATGTAAGTTGTTTAAGTTGCTTCATTTCATGTGATAATACTTTCTCTTTAATTCTATTAAACATACATAATTTCTTGTTTAGTTACAAAGTTCTGCTGTTCAAGCCCCCTATAATAGCTGTGTCGAGAATACCGACTAATTTGTCAATCGAAATTTTTTCGTTTTCAATAACCTCTGTCACTTTCTTCACTATCGGAAGCGAATTATGATGACGAGGAACTTGTCTTAAATCATATCAAAGACGGAGTACATTGAGATGAAATAATACATTTAGTAAGGAATTATAAGCCAAATAAAATAAAAACATCTGCCCTGAAGATAAGGATAGTGCTGACAGATCAAATTCCAATTCATTGCGCGCCGCGGTGTTCCCCCCGCTGAGCAGCGTGAAATTGATAAACAGATTTCGGATTTTAAAACATACTTTTGCTTTAGATCCTTTACATATTAGCAAATATATATCGAAAATTCTATTTGATATAATCGAAAGTTCAAGCTTACTTTTATAAATTTGCTCTAACAGTCTGCAAAAAATAATAAGCCGGATCCAATTCGAAGATTAAGGAACAACGCAATCTGCAACATTAACTGATTTAGATAATTTTAGCTTAGCTTATACCATCCATTATACGCATGCGTAAACGCTTTATGCACACGCGCACACACATATTCGCAGCCGTAAGGGTCTTACGCGCACACGTAACCGCCCATGCGCAGACGCATGCGCAGAAAGTTTGTAGCTTTGAGGTCCGGATTATAGATCATTCCGGATTATGAGTGTCCGAATTAACGACTTTTGACTGTACTGTCTCCAAGGAACACAAATTAAAGGAAAATCATCAATGAAAAAATTTTTAGAATTTAATGTAGTATTTAAAAAATTTCAACTTCTTGTTTAAAAATATGCTAAGAAAAATCTTTAATCACAAAAATACCAAAACCAAAAGAAAATTTTAAACATTGGAAAAGTAGTTATTTTCATTGATCAGAGATTAATCAACTTATCAAGGGGATAAACCAATCTACCATCAATTAACAACTACATTAAGAGAGTTTTTCATCTTACTTCTAAGTAAGCATCAAATTATTTGCTATATTCAAACCATAAGTTACAATTAATACTCAATCGAAATACAGACATTAGTCCATTTAAGCCAATAGAATCTTGTAAAACAAAATAGCAAATAGTAATTTTAAAATTAAAGTTCTCAATAAGAACACAATTAATGTGAACGAGATGCTTACTTTAGAAAGCATATCCCCTACACTCTCATTTTCAAATTCAAAACCAGAAGTAAACATATTAGAATATTAAAAGTTGATTCAAAATCATAAGAAGATCAAAAATGACACAATCTTAAAATTAAAGTTCAAAACAAGTAGTCAATTAGAAATTTAAATATCAAACTAGTAAGATAAAGTTAACAAACTTGCCTTCAAAAATTTTAAAACCAAATGGCTGGAAATTCAAGTATTAAGAGATGGAAGTAAAAGGGTTGTCATAAAGTGCAGTTTTCTATTTAAGAACATTTAGCCTAAATTGGCGAGAAAATGAAATTCTTGAAGATAATACATAGAAAGTAGGCTGTTACTAAAATAGCGCTAAAAGCTGCTATTAGTTAGAATATCAATTCAAAATAGAGTAATTAAAAGTAAATTAAAAAGGCCTATGACTTGCACTAAAGCTGCAAATTAATAAACCAATAATTCATAATTTCCATTTATAATAAGAAAATTTCCATATACCATCTCCAAGGAACACAAATTAAGTTAAAAACATTAATGAAAAAATTTTTAGAATTTAAATTAGTATTTTAAAAATTTCAACTTCTTGTTTAAAAATCCGCTAAGAAAAATCTTTAATCGCAAACATACCAAAACCAAAAGTAAATTTTAAATAGTGGAAAAGTAGCTATTGTCATTGATTGCAGATTAATCGACTTATCAAGGGGATAAACCAAGCTACCCTCAATTAACAACAACTAAATTAAGAGAGTGTTCCATCTTACTTCCAAGTAAGCATAAAATTATTTGCTAGATTCAAACCATAAGTCACAATTAATACTCAATTCAAGTACGGACATTAGTCCATTGAAGCCAAAAAGATATTTTAAAACAAAATAAGCTTTTTAATTTACTTTATTTTGAAATATATATATATATATATATATGGCCCTTGATAAATCTGTCTTACATCAAGAACTTCAAATATCATTTACTTGCTGAAATTCAAATATCGTTTATTAGCAGTATTATATTGTTTATTAATAGTAGTATTGTTTATTAGTATATTCAGTATTTTTTCTTAAAATAATTCAAGGTTTATGATTTTTGAAATTACAATCATTAAACTTATCTCAAAGCATATGCTATCAAAATGAGGAAATTTTCACAGATAAAATACTGATAATTTTGTTCTGGATTCATTTTCATTTTTTCTTTTTAAATTTTCAGACCACTGCAACTACTGAAACATATAAACTAAATTTCCTTTATAAAAATTTATGTGAAGCATATCTTTCTTTTTCATAATCTTGACCAGTTTTAAACGATTTGTCACACTTAAATAACCACTTCAATCAAAGCAAGAAAACAAGTCCAAGTAAGAACTCTTGCTTCCTTTTCAGTTTTAAATACATTTATTATGCATACTCAAGCTTGATATATCTACACATAATTTTCAAGTTGAAACTTGACAGTTATGTCAAATATTGAAACTGCATGAAATTTTTTTAACTAAAAAATTAATATTTTGATCTAAAAAATTTAAAATTACTTATTTTCAAGATTTTTTAGATCCACTTATTTAATTTTTTTAATTTAAATCATATTTTAATGTATCCTAGATACTTTTAGGAAATGTAAATTGTAAATACCCAGAAATGCAGTTACATAAAATTAAGAAATTACAGGACTTTTTGTTTTAGTTATTGAAATCACAAATCCAGATGCTGTAATGGACCAACTGAAAGTGATTCCACTTCAAGTGTTTTAGCAAAGCCATGAAGATTCGGAATCATATCTTCAATGGCATGTAATTTGTTAAAGAGATTAATTGAAGATGCCGCATATTAACTATTGGCAATTTAAGGGTACATAACATATTTCATCAAGCTAGCCTCAATAGTTTCAACATGCATTCAGATAATTTGAAAATTGACTGATTTTTTCCATCTTCAATTAACTCTGGATCACCTTGTACTTTTTGAAGATTGGGCTAAGTTTTTTAATAATTTCTTCCTACCAGCATAGATCAAACGTACACCAGCATTCATATTTAATTAGCATGGTACAGACTTGGTTGGTTTGGTTTATTGATTAAGGAAAGAGCATGATGACTGCCTATCTAAGAAAAATATACTTTATCTCATAGGGGACCAAAGCGTCATGCATTACCTAATAACTTTTTCATTTATCTGAGGAACATTGCCTATCTTAGTATCTTCAATAATTTCCCATTAAAATACAAAGTGTGGTATACCTTATAAAATGTAAACAATCACTTCCCCAAATAACTGATTAAACACATAAAAGTGATTTAAAAGAGCATATTTTTAATGGGTCTGTAGAATGCTATTACACTAGTTATGCAAAAACTTTTTACAATACCAGTGAAATTTGATTTTGAAAAAGATTTTATAGCCAAGCAATTCATATATTTATTACACATACAATTTATTAAATATGAAAAAAATATTCTCACCTCCTTGATGGTTTTGCAAGTATGAATGCAACTACCATCAGAATTACCAGTGTGAAAATGATACTGACTGCTATTCCAGCTTTATGACTAGATGGTTCCTCATCTTTAAATGGATCAGACTTTGGACCAGGACTTGTAAAATCAGTATGAAGATTCCCCCTTCAAAAAGCACAAAGAAAAATATTCAGCTTCTCTCACCATACAATAGGATTTCACCATTTTCATGACTAGCAAGAATTGTATATTATAAGCATTCTCAAAACTTACACTGCCAATATATACATACAATGTTTAGTATGTAATTAGGGTAATGAAAAACTGACTTATTCCTTTATCTACAGAATTCTTTTATGGAGAACTTTTTATGGTCAATCAAAAGAATGAGGACATATATAGATATCAACACATGCAAAAATGAAAATTCAAAGTTTTAATAGATAAATATAAATTATAGTATCAGTTTGGGTTAATTAATTATGGCAAATTGCTTAAGAGGAAAACATTAGTCTGTTTAGGGAAAAATTAGATTGATGGAGAAGTTTCTAATACAAGCCTACATGGAGAACTTTCTAACAGAAGCTAAACTAAACTACTGGACTTGCAAAATGCTACATCATGAAGGAAGATCCAAATAACATGAAACCTGCATCATGTATATACTGCAACGGAATATGCAAATGATTAAGATTTCAGCATACATGCACATCAACAATGACTGCAGCACACCTTATAAGCCCTATATAAAGGGAGGAAAGATAGCCATTTTGAATAATGTGAATTGTTCTCTTCTGAGATTTTTAGTATGCGCAGCATCAGTATACCTCGTAGAAGAATATGAACATCATTCGAAGACATTTTCTGAATTTGACGGAACCAGAATCAATGCACAGAGATTGCAGATAAATCACTCATCATGTAAGATGCAGCCAAGCAAATCCTGTGAATATGGATGCAGGAGAAAACATCTGATGGACAGGAGCAACTACCTTGTTGTACCCTTCCATGGGAAGACAGGCATATTTTGTGCATGGCTCTGATGAAGTGCACTGCCAGATCTGCAAACCATATCACAATAAATACAGTCTGTAAGACAACAGTTGATGTATGTATGGATAATTCAACATTGTTTACAGTACAACGGACTGTCCACTAGGTGTCCATTGCTTCACTTACCTTTTAACTTTTCAAACACATTTAACATTGCATTTGCAATGGTGCAATGAATAGCAGAGATGGACATCTGGAGAGCATATTATTTTTTTGGACAAATCATCCTTCTGTCTGCAGTACCATGATGATTAAAGTTTAGAGACATTGTGAAGAGAGATTGCTTGACTGTTGTGTTATGCACTGTCATACTGGTCCTGCACCCAGTGTTATGATGGGGGGTGGTATTGGATTCCATTCCTGCACTCCCTAGTTTGCATTATTGGCCCACTTACCAACCAATGTTATATCTTTGAAGTTTTGCAGCCTGTTCTCCTACTTTACTTTCAAAGCTTCTTCACGGCCCCAATTCAACAGAACAATGAGGAACCATATGTTGCATGCAATGTTCAAGCTTTCTTCTTAACTCACCATATTGCACTGATACCCTGGCCTGCTGTTCCCCAGATTTATTGGCCATAGAACATATCTGCTTGGTGATTGGAGTATGCATAGGCCGGAATGCTGCACCCAAGGTTACACCAGATGAACTCTGGCTACACATCCTGAAAGCAGCATAGCCTGCCATTCTCCAATAACACATTCAAAGCCTCTTTCACACAATGCCATGGCATTTAGCAGTAGTTACTGACGAACATGATGGCAACGCTTGTTACTGTTTTTCTTGTCTTCTTCACCTCACAGAAGGCTGTATATCAAATCAATTAACACTGATACTCTATAGTATCTGAAATAAATTTGTCTTTGACATTATTTGTCCATGTGGTGCATTTTGGACGGCTAGCACTGTAATTTACATTTATATTACATACAGGGTGAAACATAAAACTATCTTCTATGTAGCTACTACTGGGCAAAAACTGCAATAAATTATCAAACAAAAAGCAACATATTTTCCATTGAAAACATTTCAAACAATGCATTTTTGTTTTTAGCAATGTGAACTTTTCATAAAATATGCAATATAAACAAAGAAAGATGCATGCTACTAATTGCAATTTTTAAATGTCACAAGAAAATTTTTAAAAAATCAGCTGTTAACTTTGGTTGATAAAATCAGAAGAATTATTAAAAAGCAAAGGTAATAATTTTCAAAATGTAATATTTTGCATTAGTAAATAGAATAATTTTAACATACTTGAAAAAATTAGGACACACTACTATCGTCTCCCAATCAAAAATATATTCACAATCATCAGATTCATAAAAGAAAATAGGATTGCCCTAAAAAAATAACAATTCAAATGTAATTTTTAAAAATAACATATAAATTTTTACAGAGACATGAGGAAAATATAAAACAGCATATATGCCTCATTTACCAGCATAAGGAATGAAAGCCAGAATATTAAATTGTATTAAAAAGTACATTATTATTTTTTAATTGCATCTCTTAATACAATTTCATCTATTATTATGTAGAAAAAATAAGAATTTTGATAAGTAAGACACTTGCTTTTACTGTGTGTCATCAACATGAATTAAAACAATAATTAAAATTTGGAGTATTTACATAGAAATGATCCCATAAAGTTGTTCCAAAATATCATCATGTGGCTACATTAAAAATTACAAAACATACTTGTAATTTAAATCAACGCACAGTTTTTAGTTAAAGTAATTATGATAAAAAAATCTTAAAGTCTAACATATACCCACACTGAGCCAAAAAAAAGGGGGCAGCAGTTCTGTATCTCCTATTCTACTGGGTCAATTAATGAAATTGAACTTGTGTGCCACGAAAGCACAACTTAGGATATGTATTAGATTTATATATAGCATTGTTCTCTAATATAGGTAGTTTGGCATAAAATAGGACTTTTTCTGAAACGACATGCCAATTTTTTTTTTCCACATTTCGATTTTACAATTCAAATTATGCCAAACTGCCAGGTTTTGTAAAAATCACAAGAGTAGTTTTTAAAAAATTAGCTCTCAAAATTTTAGCTCCTCAATGTTAATTGAATCTGATATATATTTAATTGAATCTGATATCTCTCTTTTTTTTTTATTAAAGTTACTTGATTCCTTCTTCCAGAATTCAAAATTTAGGTTTATTCCAAATAAAATTCGCCCATTTTTTATGATTTCTTTTTAAAATTTGTATTTTTAAATAATTTTTATAAATGTCTCGAAAACAAATTTGAGTTATAACCTATAACATTTTTACCATCAATTTAAAGTAGATGTTTTTCTAAGCATACCTGTGAAAAATTAGAGTTTTTTATTCAAAATTTCCTAAGATATACGTGAAGTTACATATTGGCACATTTTATAATTTGGCATATTTGTTATAAGCGATAATAATACCAAATGTGGTTTACACACTTTGTTAAAATTATTTGAAATAATCAACGATGACTTTTTTTTCCGCTTCTTTACAATGGAAAAAAGGAAAAGAAAATATGTTGCCATAAATTAAAAAGTTTGCCAAGTGAATTATTCTTTGAGAAAACTGGAAAAAAGAGTGCCAAAATAAATTTTTGAATTTCTCTTAATTTTGCACAAAATTTTACAAAATTTAATCTTTAGGGATAATTTAAGTCGTAAAAACGAAATATGGGGAAAATTTGGCATGTCATTTGAGAAAAAGGCCGATTTTGTGTCAAAATACCTTTATTAGAACAAGGCTACATATAAATCTAATATATATCTTAAATCGCACTTTCGAGACATGAAAAACACAATTTGAATTTCGTTAATCGGTCCAGTAGAACGGGAGATATCGAACTGTTCCTTTTTTTTTCTTTTTCTTTTGTCCAGTATACATAGCAATATCAGGCCTGGTGGCGCAGTGGCTAGCAGCACCACAGATCCAGGGTTCAATCCCTGGGCTTTGCAAGATCGACTCAGCCTTTCATCCCTTGATTTCCATCCTTTGGGTCGATAAAATGAATACCAAGTTTGCTTGGAGATTAAACATTGTGAGTCCTGCAACAAGCTGACCACTTGTTCAGAGCATATGCTTATACACCCAGAGGCCACAATCAAGAAGGAAGATTTCGAGGCATTGCAGGCATTGGCCCATTAAGGCTGTTACGCCACTGAGTTTTTAGTTTACATAGCAATATCACTGAAATAAATACACTGAGAGGGGGATAATATCGCAATGACTCAGAATTAAATACAAAATGGCATTTTACATTATTTCACGTCCAAGCATAACTAACACCATAATTAAGTTTACACAGAACATGAGGTATTCCTATAAGTAAATCCAGAATTAAGAGATCAGAACAAATCTAGGCAATACATATAAAATAAAATTCTACACGAATTTAAAACATTACTCTATGCACAAATTACAATTTTATTTGGAAGACATCACGAGAGATAATTAAATAAATATAAAGCTGCTGAAAGACACAGGAAAAGTTACCACAACTTCAAGTCAGCTCGGAGTTTTTCTGAAATTTTATCTTTGCAATTAAATTAGTCTTCAACTTAGTCACATAGAAATCCCTTATCACTGACACTGGTGAATAAGATTTCAAACACTGTTGAACTTGCTTCTTATCTATTATATTATTCACTACTTGACACCAGATGTAATACTCTAGCTCTCTGAGTAAAGAGTTCAAAATTAAAATCTACTTTCAAGCTCATTTTATAAAAGCACTTCTAGGAACATTAGAAAATGCCCCTGGCATTTCCATTATGGTATCCAATATAATAAGTACAGTCAAAAGTCTTTAATCCGGACTCGTAGGGACTTTGATTCTGGATTATCGGTTTTTCCGGATTATAGATCATAAGTTTAAATCTGGTAAGATGGCATGCAGAAATTATAAAATTAAAAATATGGAACAATAATTTATGAAATAAAGAGCAATTATGAACTATCAAAATTTACGAAAAAAAGCTTATATTTATTTGTTTACTTTATTAAACATTTCTTTCAACGCGCGCATGCATAAAGCATACATTACGCATAGTCAAAATTAGAAAATTGCAACTAGAAAACTATTTGATGTGTATTCGTGATATTTATAATGACGAGGAATTTGATTTAAATCATATCAAAGACGAAGTACATCGAGATGAAATACTACATTTAGTAAGAATTATAAGCCGAATGAAATAAAAACATCTGCCCTGAAGATAAGGATAGTGCTGACAGATCAACTTCCAGTTCATAGCGCGCCGCGTCGTCCCCCCTCCGCAGAACAGCGTGAAATTGATAAACAGATTTCGGAATGATTAGAGAATCAAAGGATATGCCTTCATCTATTTTTTGCAGCAATTCCACTTTTTGTTTGATGGACATCGAAACATACTTTTGCTTTGTAGATCCTTTGGCAGCTCCAGCATCGGAAATTCTATTTGACATAATCGAAAGTTCAAGCTTACTTTTATAAAATAGCTCTAACAGTCTGCAAAAAATAATAAGCCGTATCCAATTCGAAGATTAAGGAACAACGCAATCTGCAACATTAACTGAAATAGATAATTAGAAAATTTTAGCTTAGCTTATACTGTCTGTTATACAATAAACGTGCATGCGTAAACATATTATGCGCATGCGTGGACGCATATGCGCATGCCTAAAGGTATTATGCCCATGCGTTAATGCATTATGTGTTGACGCATGCGCAGAAAGTTTGTAGTTTTGAATTCCGGATTATAGATCATTCCGGATTAAAGACTTTTGACTGTACTTTATTTCCTGCATTTTAACTCTTTTTTTTCTTTCTTTCTGTGGTGGCAAAATCCCATTAGGATGTTTCAAGCAGAAAGTAATTTTCTACACATTTTTGACTTCAGAAATTCTCTTTTCCACATCTAAATATCAGCCTCTCACATTTTTTACTATAATTAATTAATTATACATTAATAATCTGTTATCTTAACCTACTTGAAGAAGTTTAAAACCAATTTATAGAACAAAATTCAAAAATGCACATCCATATATATATTTTTTAAACATTTTATCGACTTACAATTCCAGCAGTAGAAACACACCATAGATTGATAATTGAGGTAATGTTTTTCATTTTGTTCTTCTTGCAATGTTGCGTTCGAGATACAAATGTTAAATGCAATTCCGAGCCTTAAAAAAAAAAAAATAAATAAATAAAAAAAAATCATGTAACTTAACATTTAAAATCCAGTACTTAAATTTAACTTAATCATAAGTTAACATTAGTGGACAGTACTATTTGTGAACTTACAAAAGAAAATTAGTTTGCATTTACATTAACAAGACAGAAAATCTGTATAAAACAAAAATCAGCAAAATCACTTGCATTCAGTAATTAGTAATTTCATTACTAATGGTCCAAACATTATGAAGGAATTTAGATGTATTTAGAGAATGTAAAGGATAAAAATCTTATCTACTTGATTGTAAATACCATCCACTAAGGGAAACCAAATTTTTTCATCATTAAAAAAAAAAAAAAAAAAAAATTACTTAAAAAGATTTAAAAAAAAAAGGTTCAATAAGCTTACATACATAGCAATATAAAATAATACCTCTCATAACAAAAGTCCTAGACTCACTGCTACCAATATCTTGGATAGAATTTGTACCTTGTTTAGTTTGACAAACAGCAGCATCAAAACAAGCATTTTGAGAATCTGTTAAATTCTGAGACACACCACTCAAATTTATTTTATATATAAACTGCTCAGAAGCTGAAGTTCTATTCACAGTAAATGTTCTAGAATAAAAGATCATGATTTGACAAGCAGTTACAATATCATGTTACAATCATATCATCACAGCAATGAATGTAAAATAAAATTTTATTAATAAAAATAAAAAAGGAGATTAAAAGTACTGTATTTTGAATAAAAAATACCATAAGAGGTATACAAAAATATCAAAATATCATAAGATGCTATACATACAGCATGGCAATTAACTATTGAGACTTTCCGTCTCTTGGAAAGATATAATGGGAAAAAAAAGGAACTAGAAAAATCTAAAATCTAAAATTGTCAAAAATGGTTTTTCATCAAATGTTAAAATACATTCTTCCTCCTTTTTTAATCCAAAAAGGCATGCCTCATGAAGACCGGTATTTAAACGGCTTGTATTAGATAAATTTTTATAATTATAATTATTTATTTTAATCTTGATTTTCATAAACTTCTACTCATTAAGGTAACATTTACATTGTGAAAGAAATTAAGAAAGCAAAATACAATTTAAAATTATAATCTAATATACATCAAGTCACACGCACACAAAACAAGAACAACAACAACAAAAAGATAAAGGTGGACTTATTACATATGTGGGAATAATTAAGCATTAAATTCATATATTACCAATTTTTAGCAAATTGAGCTAATAAAATAATAAGCTCAATTTGCTAATGACTTTTAAGTAACTCCAATGAAAATTATATTTCAATTTCTTTTATGATTGCATGAATATCACTTAAGCAAATATGCCTATAATACTAATATAACTCTACAGGTGATTCAGAACTCATCATCAATATTTGGTGCGGAGGTAGGGAATAGGAAAAGAAGGAGATTTTACATAGAAAAGTATGGACATAGATGAATGCATGGTGATGTACATGGCGTGTATACACAACTTCCATACATATTCCATTCCTTCTTCAACTTCCATTCCGTGTGTACAACATATAACCACAGCTGTTTGACGCAGCCAGTCATCATTTGACTAGGTGACTTTGCAGAAGTGACATGAACCGGTATATGTGGAATGAACTTGCAGATATGCATGTAAATACCAGGCATATTCCAGAAGGTCCGGTTGTCCATGCAATGCCGTTATGAGTCATGCATTCTAGCACATGGTCAGCAGTTCGAGCACCTCTTGTAAGTCTGTCAAACCGATGCAAAGAAATGTTACATGTAAGATAATAAATGTTTTTTTTCCTTACTACTTCCTTTTTATGTGTTCTTTCCATCACTGAATGGGGTCATTTTGCCTTACTACACGGCATATGCGCCCATGCATTCCTATTCCATACCTCCTCACCAAATATTGATGATGGATTCTGAATCACCCAGTATTAGAAAACCGCTTTAATGTTTATTGTTAATTATGTCTGCATAATTAAGAAAAGCCCAAATTTTCCATCTGGGGTAGGGCCTTCGGCCCAGGCACTCAGGTGTTCTGACACCACTCCACAGGAGGTATTACAAAATAAGGATAACTCCAGTGCTGTATGAAATACAGTCAAAAGTTGTTAATACGGACTTGTCGGGACTTCGGCGATTCCGGATTATAGATCATCAGTTTAAATCTGGTAAGATGGCATGCAGAAATTATAAAATTAAAAATATAAAATCGTAATTTATGAAATAAAGAACAATTATGATCTAAAGGGTATCAAAATTTACAAAAAAAAGCTTAATATTTATTTGTTTACTTTATTAAACATTTCCTTCAATGTAAGTTGTTTAAGTTGCTTCATTTTTTATGTGATAAGACCTTCTCTTTAATTTTATAAACAGACATAATTTTGGTGTTCAGTTACAAAGTTCCGCTGTTCAAGTCCTATAATTGATGTGTCGAGAATACCGACTAATTTGTCAATCAAAATTTTTTCGTTTTCAATAACCTCTGTGTCACTTTCTTTGTTATCGGAAGCGAATTATAATGACGAGGAATTTGATTTAAATCATATCAAAGACAGAGTACATCAAGAGGAATTATTACATTTAGTAAGAAATTATAAGCCAAATAAAATAAAAACATCTGCCCTGAAGATAAGGATAGTGCTGACAGATCAACTTCCAGTTCATAGTGCGCCGCAACATTCCCCCCCCCCTGCAGAGCAGCTTGAAATTGATAAGCAGATTTCGGAATGGTTAGAGAAACAAAGGATATGCCTTTATCCATTTTTTGCAGCAATCTTGCTAACGACACAAGGCTCTAGTCAAGAGTTTTACAGAATTCTGGTACCTTCCTCAATCTGAATTATCATGCTCTCTTAATTTTTTGGTTGCATTTTACATTCTCTGCTTCATCATAGTTGAAGATGATATCAAAAGGGCTATAGAATGGTTGGTTAACCGTTAAAATCACAACACTTATCATGATGTTATGACTCTTGTAATGACAAGTGGAGGCTTTAACTGAACAGGTTATTGCTCCTGCAATGTCAGAGCATGTTGTCCCATACCCCGCAGAGCTCGACTTGGGAGAGGACCACAGACACAAACTTCTCATCTTCCTGCAATTCATCACAAAACTATTCATCATTGTGAAATTTCCAGATTATCTGAAATAGGTGATTTCCAAACTCATACTTATTGTAGACACCAGATCAGAACTATTCCCCACATGCAGTATCTGCTCTGTCTGAATGTTTACTTTTTAACCATTTATAAATTTTTTATATAAGCAATATTTTACATTTAATAGCTTTAAAAGAATACACATTTAAAACAACTGTACGTTCAAGATAGTTTGAATGTGAAGAAAAGTCTATGTAACCAACTCGATATTTCATTTAGTAGTGAAAATAGTTAGCTGCCAAACACTACTCAAGAATGGTGTATGGTGTATTTAAATATGGCAAAGCACACGAGGGCTCTGCCTAAGGGGAGGGATGCCTTCGTGGAGGACTTTCTAACGGAAACTGGCTCATATACACGTTACATATGGGGAAAACCACAAAAACGCCCATGCAGCCAGCCCGTTCACGGGATTCGAACCTCAGACCGAACTACCAGTGTTCAGCGACTTTACCGCTCGGCCACTGGTGGGCCCACTACTCAAGAAACCCTGGGACATTGCAGGGAGGCAAATGCCTACAATATGATACATAAATAACTGAATATGACAAATATGGCCTATGGCATGTCACAATTAATTGCATTTCTATCAACAATAAATAATTAAAAATTAAATTGGAAATAATTAAAACTGCTTTTCCTTTTATCCCATGTCAAATTAAAATTTTTTCAACATTTATAATAACACTTTGTTAGGTTCTACTTTATGTTGCATGATTGTTTATTCATGCACTCAACTATGCTATCACGTTCGGAATTGATGCCTTACGTAGTTGCCTCAGACAACCATACTTGACGTCAGACCTGTTCAAGGCATGGTTTGGTTTATTGAATAATGGCAAAGCATGCCTATGGGAAAGGATGCCTCTGTGGAGGTCTTTTGAAGGGAATTGGCTCTTATATACATTATACGTGAGGAAAACTACAAAAATACCCAAGCAGTCAGCCTGTGCACCTGGAATTGAATTCCGGTCAAAACTACCAGTGTTCAATGATTTTACCGCTTGGATGCTGGTCGGCCCTTGTTCAGGGCATCCTTATTTTGAAAAACAAATTGATTATGAATATAGGTATGTAAAAAAATCTAATCTTAAAATACTCAACACATTTTATTGCTTGGTTTATCTGCCTATATTTTTTAGGCACCACAGATTTAGCTACAAGATCAGGTGGCAAAATTTTTAGAGTTTAGATGAATTTACGGATGACAGAACTTATACAATTTATGAACTGCAATCTGTGGCAAAATGTTAGAGTTTAGGAAAGTACCAGGCAGCAGAATTTAAAATTCACAGAGACAACAGAGGGCAGCAATAGCCTAATACTGGCCCTGAGTTTTAGTTAGGCTTTGAAATCCTAATAAACTAAAAGAAAATTTGCATAATTATAGTCTAACATTACCATCAATTCAGTTGTACAAAATGTTTGAAGAATTAAGTACTAAAAATGCGAAATTATACTCAAAGAACATATCTAAACTTTAAAGAAACAATAAATATCAGTCAAAACCATAACTCAAAACTGTCTGCAAGTGAATTATTTATATTTTCCACTGGAGCACGAAATTAATCAATAGAAAGTTTCCACTCGGTCCACACTCTCCTTTTATGACAACAAAAGGGAAACTTCTAGGGAAAGGGATTTGCTCCCGAGGTAAAGTCCGAGGAGCAAAACTTTCCTCCCTTTGAGTATACCGCGTTTTAGCGCCATCTCTGGTTAGGTTAGGTTATTTGAATATCGCTAAGCACGCAAAGGCTATCTGCTTAGTGAAGGCCTTTCTAAGGAAACCTGGGATTGTATTCAACGTTACACGTGGGTATGACTACGAATAACATACATGCAGTCATGAGATCGAATTCCCAGCATTCAACAGTCTTTAACCATACGGTCAATGGTGTGTGCCCATGATGGCGGGAAAATATGTCAAAAAGCACGTGCCAAAATATAAGTACAAAAAAATGCGCACTATTCAATTCAGTTCAATATTTAAAATCATACTGATATCACTTACCAATCTAATGCCGATAGATCATATTTACCGTCCTGGAAAACACAGCTAGGACACACGTTATGAAAAAAACTAACTGTTATTATCACAGTAATAAAGTTTGCAGTGAAAGACATATTATTTAAATGTATGAATTAATAATACTGTTAATTTTTAAAATGCACTATTTGCAAACGATCATCACTCTACAAAATTAACTACATTTCAATGCACAAATCATTCTCTCCCACTACGACATTGCGTTTAAATGCCATTTTCATTGTGAGTCTTCCTGAGCTAACAAACATGAATTAATCGCAAAGCAAAACACACTCGTTAGAGAGTGAAAAAACAAGTTTTTCCGATAATTTCAAAGAACAGCCTTGACAGCAGAATAAGTGCTTATTCTGGTAACCCAATCGTTCCGCGGGAAACAATTGTCATACTTAATCCCCCCCCCCCAATTCTCGAAGGCCACATTTTTATGCATTTTTACAGATGTATCTAAAGGCGGGAGAGTCACATGACCAGGGTTACTTTACCCATGCTGCCTTTCAATATCACTATAGCAACTGAAGGTTAGCAGAATACATTTCAGAGCCAAATAACATCGTTTAAAAAGGTAGCGATTTTTTGTTTGCACCTGTGTTTGTTTGGCGTTATAGGCTTGGCTCAGAGCCAAATAACATCGTTTAAAAAAGGTAGCGATTTCTTGTTTGCAGCTGTGTTCCGTTTGGCGTTGTATAGGCTTGGCTGTTTATCTTTGAATTTGAGAGTTATTCAATTTTATATTATTTATTTATTTTTGTGTGTCTGCTGGAAAGTCTGTGATTATTTACTACTGAGGTCGGGGAGTGTAATGCCTAAATTCTTATTGCTGAGGAAATTTTAATACAGTAATTTATACGTAGGTGCTGATTTCAGATAAATCCGTGATTAAATATGTTTGTCAATATTTGCCGTCTGGTAATGAACTGCATTTTATTGTTTTTCCTGAAATTACAATAGAAAAGTCTGAAAAATATTTCTGTCGTTAGGTAATATAATTGAGAAAGATAGACATTTGACATTGAAAATTATTGTGTTGAAAAAATTTTATCTGGTATCCATAGTACTTAAGTTCGTTTTAATGAAATGTAATGTTGTAATGTAAGCAAGTAACAAATCCAATGAATTTAAAAAATTTAATTATCTTTTGAAAGTTTATGATGTATGGTTTTAATTAACTGCTATATACAATTAAACAGCTATCATTAGTGTAATTTCTTTTTTTCAAAATTTCCATTTTTTAGATAATTTTAGTTTAATGTTATTCACTTGCATATTAAAATTGTAATCATTTTGCTAAATTATTTCATTACGATGTTTAGCTCACAAAGAATCTTTGATTTTCTATCCCAAAAGTCATTCATAAATTTATTATTTTTCTAATTTTTGAAAAATTGCAAAATTTCTTAGGGTTGCCTTTCTAAGAAGCATGCTAATATTTCTCAAGTATTTTTCACTGAGGCTTATGTGAGTATCTACGACTTGTTCATTTTCAAAATTTGTAATATCTTCTGAAATCATTAGCAAACTATCACAAATTGAAAAAAGAAGTCCATCATTCCCTTTGATGTTGCATTGTATATAATAACTTTTAATGCATAGAAATTTAGATTTGGGCTTAAAAATTTTTAAATGATAAATTAGCATAGAATTTTTTATGATGTTTTATTATGCAGTTATTAATGGAATCCTGGAATTGCATTAAGATTAGAAGTTACATGAATAAAAGCAGCATGAGTTTAAGATAGGAATAAAATTACTTGTATAGTATCTGTTAAAAATCTGGAAATCATGACCACAAAAGACAAATCAGAAAGAAAATTTTTAGTATTATATAATCCTGGAAAATTTCTCAAATTCCTAGGCATGTGATGAACAAAATCAGACCTTCAGCAAATGCAATCAGAAATAATTTGAGAATTGTGTTCATTTATTCTTTCAAGTAAACAGTGTATTAATAAAATTAAACTCAATCAAGTTTACAATGTATATAGGAGCCAGTTTCTCTTCGAAAGGCTTTTCTTCTCTTGGGCAGAATGCTCTTGTATGCTTTACCATATTCAAATAGCATAACCTAATCTTTCAAGTCTGAAATTTTTTATGGAAACAATAAAAGAAATCATACGTAATTTAATTCCCTTTCAACGGATTTGTATATTTTGATTTCTAAATGAAAGCTTTTTAAATGCTTAGTTCAATGCTCTTTAAACATTTTTTGAAGATTTTTATTTGTGCAAGTAATAGTGAATTTTTGAATTACTGATGATCGGAATGGATTTTCAACTAAAAAATGTGTAACAAAAATTAATAATTTCAGGGATAGTAAATTATTATATTGACTTTTAAAAATTAAATTTGAAAAAAAGAGGGAAAAAAAAAGAACAAAGGGTCACTAAATTCATGATAGCGTGGTATGATTTGCTAAGAATTCAAGAAAGGTTTTTCAACAATAGGCTCCTTAATCAGATAAAAGTACTTCCTTAATTTCACTTCTATTCATTTTAAAGTCATTTTAAATGGAAGCATCTACTCACTTCTTTTTTGAATGGTTGTTATCATATTTTGAATATTCATATGTCATTAAAGTGGTACTTCATTTTACATATTTTTAAATTGCTGTTATTTAGTAAGTATTTTTTCCTGATAAATAATACTATTGTAAATGTTCTTAAACAAAACTGTTTACAGAACAAGGTGCATTTAATTTTCATACCAATATCCTAACACCAAACATTGCTTTATTTTCCAAAATTAATTTTTTAATATTAAAGTTACTAAATCGTACAGTAGTATTATTGAAGCTCATCACGATAAATTATTCCAAATGGCTGGACACTTGAAACTTAATGCATTCGTCGAAAATAACGAACACCTTTCGATCATTTCGCCGAGGATGTAGCCCGAGAAGGGCGAGAGAGTCCGAATTATGCTCCTGAAAAATGGGACATTCTGTCTCAATTTTCATGAAGAACAAACACTCCGGAAGACGGATTTGAGAGTCTATCACTCCACTTGTCCTTTCACATAACCTCCTGATATGACTTTCGGCTAGCCAGTTTTTTAAATGCTCTCATTCCATATACTGCACTTATTTTAAGTTTACAAATATACAGTCCTTCCAGTAGCGAGCATAATTGGCGCCCCCTTTCCCGAAAAAAACACAGTGATATGATGAAAATCTTGTTTGTAGACCATTTGGCGCCCGGAGCATCATACACCCCCTTGCCCCCCCCTCGCTACGCCACTTAGTCCTTCTCTGGGACCAGGGTTTAATTTCTAAAGTGCCGGAGCCCTATGGAAAACCGTCAGCAAAGTGAAACAAAAGTAATTAAATAAATAAAACAACTAATTAAAATCATTAATAATTAAATTAAGTAGTGTGAGGGAGTCGTTTTAGGGTCATAGAACAGTCCTGTGTAGTGTAACAAGTATTTATTAACAGGTTTAAGTTACACACGCACATTACATTTAACTTTAGGAAAGTTACAGAGCAAGAGTCTGATACAAACTATCAGGTTAGACACTCGACTTTTACGAAAGTCCTCTGGCTACTCACCAAAAGGCACCCTTGTTGTCACAGTTAGTCCAACAGTTTATGTTTATGTTAAAGGATTGGTCACAAACTCCCCCTCTGGCTCCGCTGATGTCCCGGCAAGGAGACAGAAATGAAAGATTTGGGAGCTTTTGTAATATTGTCTCTAGTCTCAGTTTCATTTTTGGTTTTCTGGGCAAGAGGACTTCTTTTTAAAGCACTGTCCAGAACCACAAGTTCTTGATTATTTCGGGAATGCAAAGTAACTTTTGGCTGTCTACCTCTCTTCTTGAGCGGAAGAATGGGAGAAGTGGACGAGTCGGTGGTGGTGGTGGTGGTGTATTTAATTATGGCAAAGCGCACTAGGGCTATCTGCCTAAGGGAAGGGCTGCTTTCGTAGAGGACTTTCTAAGGGAAACTGGCTCGTATACAGGTCACACATGGGGAAAACCACGAAAACACCCATGCAGCCAGCCCGTTCGTGGGATTCGAACCTCGGACCGAACTACCAGTGTTCAGCGACTTTACCGCTCGGCCGCTGGTGGGCGAAGTGGACGAGTCTTTGAAAGGTGTTCGTGCAGACATATGGTACGTTCCTAACGGTTCTGATGATTTACGAAGGCTTGAAATGACATAGGAAGTAGGTGATTTCTGCGTCATTACCAAGTATGGACCGTCACGCATTGGTATGAACTTTGAAGTCTTTTTGTTTTTTTGCATTGCTAACGGATGTAAATTGACCCATGCATTATCACCTGCTGAATAAAACACTTGTCGCCTTACTTTATCATATTTATGTTGATCTTGCTTTATTTCGATACGCTTTTGTATGTCCTTTGCAATAGTTGCGAATTGTTTAAGATAAGGGGTGATTTCAGGAACAAAGTTATCATTTTCGACCACAGCTTTAAAATCGTGAACAACGTCGTCGACAGTCCTCAGCTGTTTTCCAAACATTAGGAATGCTAGAGTGTATGGCCTGTAGTGTCACATACGGCCGTATTCATAGCGCAGCGAATAACTGGGAGTTTCGAATGCCAGCTGTCATGAGCATCTCCTGCAAAGATTGGAAGACGAGGTTTTAAGTCTCTATTTTTCCGTTCCACAGGATATGATTGAGGAAAGTAAACTGGTATCAAGTTTTGATTATTATTTAATGTGCAGCAAACTTGTTGCATGACTGCACTGATAAACTGGGTTCCGTTATCGCTGATGATTCTTCGTGGTATACCATGCCGCATGAATACTTCTTCGATGAGGGTTATAGCACAGTCGCGTGCTGTAGCTTGAGCAAGAGGAAATAATTCAACCCATCGTGTAGCACAGTCTTCGACAATGAAGATCCATTGTTTTCCAGTGTCAGTTTTTGGCAGTGGTCCAAACAAATCAATAGATATGAACTCAAAACGTTGAGAATAGATAGGGGTTCTTAGCAGTCCAGCTGGCTTTTGGTTGGTAGCCTTGTAGCGGTTGCATTCAGGACAGCTTTTCACATAGTCGAATATGTACTTTTTCATACCACTCCAATAATAGCGTTTGTCAATTCGTTGGAATGTTCCTTCCTCTCCATAATATCCAGCCATTAGGTTATCATGGTGCTTTCTCATGATGGATTCACGCTCGGCAGTTGGAATTACTAACTGGGCCTCTTCTGAATCAGAATCAGGGAAATATCGGTAGATATGTTCCTGAACACCTTGATTCATTTAGAATCCCTGTTCATTGCAAATGGCACGTTCTTCAGTTTTCTGAGTGGATTCGAAACTTTCTATAATCTTTTTTAAGTTTTCATCTTTAAGTTGGGATTCCCGCATGTCTTTTGGACTTCTTGTGGGCATGTCCACTATAGATATATTTGAAATCTCGCAA